GTACGAGGTGCATTGGGTTAAATATCTTTATTTAAGGTTTGAGGCTGAAATAAAAATTGCCTCATAACCTTAGGTTGTGTTATTTTTTTCCTTTGGAAACTGTTTTAACCGGACTGTATTTGTTTTTCATCACAGATGTAAATGTGTGATGAAACATGTCTTAGGTACCTTGACTCTATCTGGTAACTTTTACAAGGTGTTGGTAGGACAAGTCCCTGGCAGGTCTGAACCCTCAGTCTTCAGATGAAGTCTTCCAGAACTCACTCTTTCTGGTGTAGGAAGGTGAGCATTTGGAATAATTAGGACACTAGAACTACCTTCTCTGGTATTTTTTTTAGGAATAAAAATAATCTTTGATGTGGTCAAGGTGGAGAGAGACTTGAATTATAAGAGACAATGGCAATGCAGTTAGTCATTAGTATCACAGGAGAACAACTAGCATACGAATACTAGCTAGCAATACTAATATTTGAAGTTTAATCTTTACCATGGAGAAACGATGAGGGTATACATTTAAACGAAGTTCACCAGGCTGTAACCAGACTGCATCTTTTTTTCCTGACTCAAGTTAATTTGGCCATCCTGTGGGTGGCAGTGATTCTCACTTCTGCTAAGATTTGCTTTTCCTACATCCTTTTTTCTTCTGAAACAGAGGTGCCTCTTCATCCTCTATTTTGTTATCTGTCCTTGACATTTTCTTCTTTCTTATCATAAACTTTTGCTGCTGCTCTTAGTCTTTATTCCTACTTTCCTGCTATACTCAAATTTCTTTCTGTCATTTCTTTATTCCTCTAGAGAGCTTGGATAGCCCAGAAGTGATGAAAAATACCTTTCAGCTTTCTGCTGTACAACTAACTTCAGTCTCCAGTTTAGTGAGAGATTCTTCTTCCACTTGCTAGCCATTCATCATCTTCTCCTGAAGTGAGAGATGATTTTTATATATGATAGAGGAAGTCCATCTTTCTGTGCAGCTTTTAGAGCCTCTAGAGACATAAACTTTAAGAGGAGTGATTCTCTTAGAGAAACATGTGGCAGTGGTGTGTGCTTGCTACAAAAATATTCTGAAATCCCAAAACCTTCTTAATGTTGTAGCTGTTCTGTGGAATTTCTTGTGATTTCTCTCTGCTCGTGTCAGCTGTGCAGGGTGAATTTGAAGATTTGGCTGCTTCTTTCAGTGTAAAGTGTCTGTGAGCAAAGAATTTGAGGCACATGAGAACCAGGATGCTGTGGAGGGGGGATTGCAGCACTGATCAGGGATAGTAATCAGTCAACAGTATGAAGTTCTATCTTGAATGTTCTCTAGACTGAATTCATTCTTGTGACTATCTGTCCTTTTCCTTCCTGCTGTGTAATTGATTTTTTTTTTTTAATCAGAAAAAGGGGGGTTGGGGTTGGGTGGTTTTGTTTTTTTTTTTTTACTTTTCTAGATGTAATGAAGGAACATATTGATGAAAAAATCTTGCATTTCAGGATGCTGGTGATAGCAAAATCTGAGAATGAAGCTTAACCTTATTACCTGGCTTCAAATCTGTCTGTGATGAAGTTCTAATTTTTGTGGTGTGCCACAACAGAGAATAGGAGAATAAAAGCACCAAATGCTTTTTTATGTGTGATGGAGGTAGGCAGAATATATAAGATTTTAAGTAAATCAAAAGGTGTGTTTGCTGGCACGTCTTGTTTAAAAAAAAAAAAAATCATAGTTTATGTGGTTCACCTTCAAGGAATATTTAAACAATATGAACCTGAAGTGTTACGTTCCTTGAGAAGATCTGGTAATTAAATTATCAACAAAGTTTCAGCTACAGAAATTAATGTGGTTATTTTCCTCTTCCCCGTAGATCGCAGGGAAGCTCTGTGTTTGATCTTGATGAAAGTTAATGCAATAGTCGGTTCATTACTTATTTTATAATAAAATCCAAGCAGTGCCTTACTGAAGGGTGTTTCATAGCCAGAAACATGAAAAATTGACTGTAGTAAATCACAGTGCAGAGACTGATTTGTCAAACATAATGATGTACTACCATTGTGTGTGAGAGAGACTCTAAGTCTGTTTACATCTTGTGAACATCGATTGGGATATCAAGGTGTCTGTAAAAACAACAGAACAGTTCAAAGGTTTTAATTTTTGTTTCTGTCTTCTGTGCTCCAGTTTTGTTTTGTTTTTTTTTTTCCCAGAGTTTATCTTTAATTGCTTCTAGTAGTTCTTTTCCCCAACGTGGCCTAAAGTTGACATTTAGAGATAGTTAACTATCCTAGGGCTGCATATGCAACAGGAAATGCGCTGTGCTGGTTTTTAAAATAGTTGGATGGGTCTGCTGTAACAGGGTTTTGACTGCAGTGAATATTTTACTGTTCCTTTGGTAGATGAATGGATGTTGTAAAGTCCAGCTGATGTCAAGAGGCATTAGTAGTGATAAGCTCGTCTTTTAGCACAGCTTGATCAGGAAAAGTGTCTGTGCAGTACTATTCATGTCAAGTTCTTACATTCACCACCCCCCACCCCCCAAAAAAAAAAAAAATTGCAAAATGTAAAACATGGATCCTCTGAAGAACAGTAAGTTTCCATGGAGCCGGATCTTTGTCACGTTAAGGTATTATGCTAGGTATTAGCCAGAAAAACAAATGCTGTTACTACAAGTTGAGCAGCCACTGAATAAAAATAGAACAAAGGGCTTGAACTTCAAATAAACCTGTCATTAATTCTGTCAATATTGTTAACATCTTTCACAGAGAAATGTTGATGAAAACTTTAAGGTAAGACCTGTAATGCAACTGTCAGGGTAAATCAGGATATAAATGTGGGAATTTTTTGTTGGTGGTGATGATTTGGATTTTTATGTTTTTAAGTCTAGGTGGTGTTCCTATAATTTTGTGTCATCTTTGACATTCTAAAAGGGTCTTTCCTTTAGCATGATAAGAAATAGCTTCCAAACAGCTCACTTTTACTGAAACACTTCTATTCTTGCTGAAATCTTGCTTAAGAAACTACTGCTTCATCTATGCAGCTAGCTAACTGCAATGCTTTTTCAATAAGAAGTATTCTTAGTTCATTACTGGCAAGTGCAGTAAATACCTTTTCTTAATGCTTTTCAGGTGAGTGCATTCTATATTAGGATTTACTTTTTCATTGCATCAGTAAACATTTTTTGGTTTGTGATAATTTTTAATAACTTCCTGCATCCTTACTCTTTATTTCAGTGGATCTCTCTAAAACTCCTGTTATCCTGGTACGGTAAACCTCTGAAAGACTATGAACTCTGGGCATTATGTCACGAGTGTTTATGTACTCTGCAAACTTGCATAGATTATCCAGGTATAGTCTTAATTATCTTAAAATAATTTGCTTAGTTATTTTCACTGTATTAATGTTTTCTTTATTCTGCTGATGCAAAATAATTCATTTTGTGTACAGAAAAAATAATGGGCAGTATTTCTAACTTCATTCTCTTAAATTGTGGCTTAAAATTTTTACTCAACTTGGATTTTTCTTCCACATATAGAAGAATGTCATCTTTTCTCTTTATTCTGAGTTTTGATGGCTTTTGTGGGGGAAACAAATCTTTATGACTTCAAGCAGTGAACCAGACTTTGTGTTTAGACATATTAGGGATGGAGAAACTGTACTGTGACTTTTAAGAAAAGCACTTGGGATGTGTATCTTGAAAGCAGGAGGAAATAAGTTTTATATATATGTAAACATAATATTTCCTCTCTTGCCAGGATTTCTCTGTGACAAATGATTCCTGATGGTTTTTTGACAATACAGGGCTTTGTCAATTTAAAGCACTCAGGTTCTTGTTGTAACTGCTCCCCACATTCCCTGTGCTTCAATTTGTAGAAGAATTATCAGAAGTCAACTTCTGAGAGAGGAATGGGGAACTGTCCTTTGACAGAATTGGAGTAGATTGTATGTGACTTGGGAGAAGACCATCCTAAACTTCATAGGCATCCTGAGTGTTAGTTTAGCTTATACTAGTAATAAATCTGTAGCTGTTCTGATAAACAGAGTGGAGGTTCCCACCTCCACCATCCTGCCTTTCCTTTTTCTTGATTTAAAAATCTTCCTTTTTGAAGGTTTGGACAGGGGTGAGTTTGAAGTCTGTGACTCAATATAAACAATTGGATAGTAAGGTACAGACAACTTACTGCATCTCCTCTGTTTTCAGCTTCAGCTATTTTGTCTTTTATGATGGAAAACTGTTAAAAAGGAAAATGGCCATAAATTGATATTTCTGAGCACTTTAAGCAATATTATGCTTAAAGCTAAGTATTTGATATACCTTACAACAGAAGGATTATTTCAGCCTCATGGCATGTTCCTAATGTTTGTGAAGGTTTCAACTAACTGCACGTAATGGCTCAGATTGTAATTTAATATGCCCAACCAGCCTCTGTTACCATACTTACATGCACCCAAAATGCCTAAGTCTTCGAAATACTAAAGACTGAGTTGCAATCTGAACCTTATGTAGCCTGTAAAAGTGAACATAATGATACAAGCCACTAAATGGAAAGCACCTTACTTAAAATTCCATATTTGACAAATAAAGCTGCCTTGAAGTTGAATATTGTTTTCAGATTTAGAGTATTTCTGCCAGAGGATTCTCATCGTGTTCTGAGAGTAATTGTGCATCGTGGAATGACTTACAGTGGCGGTATGCTCCAGTACCCCCCCCCACACACACACATGAAGTTCTCTCAGCATTCCTTTTGAATAATGTTAACTTACTAAAGGTGAAGCTGATATCACATAAAGTGTTTGTTAAAGTATCCTTTGTCTTAACACTGGTAGAGTAAGATTGGTAGCTGACGAGTCATAGTTAAATATATGAAATGTGGAACAAACTGGATTATTTATTACTCGGACAACCTTTTCCTCCAAATTTTTCCCTGTCTACACTTTTTTCATTATCCTAAGCAGGAATCATCTGGGTTGATGATTCATACCCCAAAGCTAGCCTCTTCATGTTTTTTTTTTTAATTCAATCCTGCTACAGAAGTTGTTTGTACCCTCCGTTGATACTTTATTTCCTCTCCTCTTATTAGAGGATGTTGCTTACATGTTGCCTTTAGGGAACCCAGGTGAGAATTCCCCATGTACTGAATTTATTGAGATCTGCTTTACGTGAACTGTGTTGCAGATTCAGGGCTGGAGGCATTGACTCTTGAGAAGCAATGATAGTGAGCGTGAAGAGTTCTCAGGGGAGCTGTGTTTGCAGAAATAACTAGTAAATGTCCCTATTTGGGAAAGTTTTGCTTTTCAAGACACATAGTCCATCCAGCTTAAATATTATTGAAGGTAGTATGCAAGCCTTTATTTACATTAAGCATAGCAAACAGTTTAATTGCTTTAGATGTGTTTTGTACAGGTAACTACAAAAGCAAAAGGATGATTTCCTTTTTCTTACTTTATTTTTCTTTCTTAGACCTCTTTAGTATTTTATTTAATGATTAATAAATTTAATGTTTTAACCTCTTATTTAGTTTAATGTAAGAATCTATCCTCCTAGTACTCTGTTCTTAATAAGAAAACAGCATATTTGATGGTAGTCTACAAAGGCAGGACTACATTGCTAGCCAGCTGGCTTCGTATGTTGAAACATGTTAAATTACAATGTGGTTTGAAGATATCAAACAGATAGACACAATCTTACCACGAGTTTGTCATCATTGAATTTATATAATGTGATCTTATGACCTTAATATTAAGTTCCTGAAGACCTCAGATCATTTAAAATAGTTTTAGAAGTCAGTTATTTCTTTCCTAACTATGGAAAATTTCAGGGCCTTGTAAATACCAGTCTGCATAACACTTCTTCAGTGGGAGAGTGTGAGTGATTATAACAACTTGTGTAAAACTGGACTCTGTATCCTGTCCCACCTAGAGGACTTCTGGATCTAGCCTCAGCTGTCTCCAGATAATGACCGTCTGTTTTGGTGGGGTTGGAGGAGGGAAGGGAGGAGAGATTAAATGCTTAAGATAAATTGACCATCTTTTATTGGTACCTTGTGAGAAGACTAGAGTACATCTAGCTGTCTTACTTTTTGTTTTGTTTCGTTCCTTTCTTGGCCATCCTTTTCAATGCTGGGTATAAAGAGAATAAACTTCTGGTATCGTAAGCCCTTTTATTGTGATCCCATTTTGTTTTGCTTTCTTGTCTTTGTTCTGTAGGAATTGCTTTGGGTGATTACGCATCTACTGTCTCTATTGGGTGGTGTCTATTCTAGCATAAGTGTTATTTAAAGCATCATTTATCATAGGGTAATTGCTGACATTGAAAATTATTTTTAAAATTTAATTTATTTTTATTAGTGTCAAATAGTTACAAGAACAGATATTTATTACACCTTGCTCTTTTGTGGCTTATTTCGCAGTGGTCTTATGTTTGGACTCTGTGCTGATTGACTGCCATGGAAGTATCCTCTTTGCTGCTCCAAAAGCTGAAGGTAAACTAATACATTGTTGCCTGCTCTGCTTTTATTTCTTTGGGAGAAGAGTGGATAAGAAAGCAAATATCTTACCTTTTGTTTCTGGTTTCTTTTCTCATTTAGAATCTTGTGATATATTCTATTTAGCTCCTGAAATTGAAGAAGAGGATGTGGATACTGAGAAGGTAATGTGGTAGGTTGCTATGCATTTCATCAAAAGACAGTTGTGCTGCTTGAAGAAGAAAGCTGAACTCTTCTAAGATTCTGATAATATTTCTCACTTCTCCCAATATTTCTTGGTTATCTGTGGGGTTTTTTTGTGTATTGATCTTCCATAAAATTAGTTGTTTCTGAAAAATAATTTTGCCTTCCAAAATTGAACAAAAATCTGTTATTCAATGGTTTTCTGTAAGGCTTAATTATTTTCAGTAGCAGTAAGTTTCAGTTAGCAGTGAGACAGACTTTGAAGTCATGTTTTCACATTCTGGAGGTCACACTAAGATCAGTACTTCAGACTGTCTAGACTAAAGCCCAACCATTAATCTCATTTGGAAGATTGGATAAAAATACACCTATCAGCATATTTTTACTATGGAAACATTATGAATTATGTCTGTTACCAATACAGTTTTTCTAGAGCTTTTTGCTATAGATGTAAGCCATAAGGAGCTCTCAGACCAAAGATGATAGCAGGTGAGTACTTGTCTCCACTGCAACTGCATCTGAATTGCAAATTGCACCACAGTGATCTTAAGAGTCAGGAAAACAGAGTTCGCCGTAGCTTTCTATTATGTAACAAGAAAAAAGAGATTAACTAGTATGTACCTTGTGCCCATTGAGTTGTTTGAACTTAGACATAGCAGTCATAAATCAGAAAAAAAAGTCATTAAAAATCTACTAAAGACAGAGTTTGGCTTTCTGTAAAATTATGTGTAACTGGAAAATGTTTATATATATATATATATATGCCCTCTTTAAAGTTGCTTTTTGTTCTTAAACTGCTTTGATCCAATGTGTGGGTTTTTCAGAGGCTTCAGAAGTTTAAACTAATCCTGAAATATAATACAGCAGTTTCATCAGACAGTAGAAATCGGTAATCTTAAAGTCTTTATGCTTTATTTTTTTCTTTAGAAAATATGAAATAATCTTCCTTTTTTTTTCTTCTACATTATCTATAGAATAACCTGACCTGGTTTTTTTTGTGTGGTGTTTTTTTTTTTTTTACTTTTTCCTAGTTATATGTATAACTTTTTGGTTGTTATGGACATTTAGTTAGAATTATGGTGTTGGAATCAAGACTGTCATGCCAGTCACAACAGCTATACTACCTCAGCAAAAGGAATGTTTTTGAAGGATATGCTGGATGGAATGGCAAGTTTTTCCTAAATAAATAAATTTAGGTTCAAAGCGTGGTCCCATTGACCTGTTGGAATTCTGAGCCTAAGGGGAGAAAACTTGTTTTGTTTTGCTGGAGCTGCTTTCTCCTATTTCAAATATTTTTGTACCTATTAGTACCTTTTGTTCAACAGTTCAAATGGCTCTCAGGTTGTTTTCTTTACAGTGAACTTCCTTGTTACATTGTGTTGATTGCTGTTCACTTTGCTCAAAGGACTGCTAAACAACGTTGTTTGATAGGACCACATTTAGTACTGTGCTTAAGTTTCTGCCCCTTGAGCCTTTTTAGTATCTTTCAGAGGCAATGTGAAGAAGCATGGTGCTTTAACTTTGTCAAAATTGCATTTGTAGTACTAACATATGTAAACTAAGTATTAAGTAGACTAAATCTAGCTCAGCCTGAAAATAATTCTTCAAATAAAACAAGGAAGCTTGTGAAGATCAAGTACTCTTCAAGGTCCTTCATCATGGCAATTTCAGTCGGTCTAGCTGCAGGTAGCACAGTAATTGCTAAAATAAATACACAATACCTCGTTCTTCTGATAAGTGTAATCTTCTCTGTAAAATATGACTCGTACTGCCTAGCTTGTAATTACTGTGTGCCATTTACTTGCTGAATTATCATCACCTTTTTTAAGTAAATTGCAGCTGGCCAGGTTTTATGGTAGATCTCTAAAGCTTGCAGCAATCTAAGTTGTTACATGAGAAAGGTGGGTTTAGAACCATTCTGAAGAATTCCTTTTTCCTGAGTAATTTTCCTAGACAAAGGATAAGACCAATTATGTCTGTTGCTCCAACAGTAGAAAATTCACTACTCTTATTGGCTCTGCACACGTAACAGCTAGTTTTTGAAACAGGCTGGGATTTTCATCAGCATCTTCAAAAGCCAAATGCGATCTGTACTTCGGAAGCTCTAGTCATGTGTTTTTGCGGGGAATGAAGGGAATTTTTGGATAATTTGCTGGAATTGGTTTTGAAGTGGAAGTGTTTTTGGGTCTGTCTACATTTTCCTGTCTCATGTTGTACCAATAGGTCTGCATTTATGGAGTTGCTGCAGTTCTGTGGATGGCTGCAAAATACAGTGTTCCTGCAAGTCACAAACTGGCATTGCCAAGAAAATTTAAAAAACTACTTCTGGATATGGCAAGAAAAAACCCTGAAGAAAGACCTTCTCTAGCTGATGCAATTAAGGTTACAAGATTTAAGCAATTTTATGTGAAATCTAGTTGTGTCTAAAGTATCATTCTAGTGATTTGAATATCAAAATATTAATTTTTTTTTGGTAATATACTGATACCTAATTAAATTGTAACTAGTCTCATTAGGGTTTGTTTTCAAAGTTATCTCCTTAGGGGTACAGAGGGGTGTGTTTTTAATTTATATTGGAATTGTCCATAAGGTACTTGGAATAGGTTCAGAAGACTCCCTAAACTTAGATTAATTCTAAGTTAGTATTTATATTGACTTTGTCCCTGTCCAAGAGTACCTCACTTGATTGAAAGCTTATTTACTGACTGAAATTTTTTTTTTTAGACATGCAATCATTATTTACTTGAACAAGGCATAAGCAGCAAAAGTATTTTGGCATGGTTGAATAAATCTGTCGTTAAGGTAAGTGTGCCAACTGCCAACTTGTTTAATTCTCTACATTTTTTCAATTAATTGTGTAAATTGTATTCTGGTAAGATTTTGTCCCCTGCAAGTATAGTTAATTTTTTCTCTTTTCTTTTTTTTTTTCTTAATTTGTTTTTAAGTAGTCTTTAAGTATTGCTTTTTTCTTGCTGTTAGAGTGGTCACTCCCTGGGTTTTGGTGCCCTGATTCCCCAATCTGTATGGGTAAAGAACCAGTGACTTAATTTCATAATCTCTTTCATTTACCACCCCTCTTATCAGAACAGAAGGCATTAATATGTAATTGTTGTGTTCTCTTTGTTTCAAATATGTCTATATAATGCACCTAGTGTTCAGTGAATCCATGGAACTCACTTTGTTCAAAACTTCAATTGCCTGAAAGTTCTGATTTGAAACAGGTTATCGAGATTTGCAAACAGTTCTACCAGTCCATAGAGTTTTGTATGTAATTTGTTTTAATTCTCTACCTTGGCATGACTAGGTTGTAGCTTTACAACATTCTAGGTTTATGTGGGCGTTGGGGTTTTTTGAAGTAATGTGCTAAGCAGAATTTAAAGAAAGAAAATGCTAATAAATTCTGTTTGGACTTCAATTTTTATTGTTAGGCTGTTGAGGAAGGTCGTGCTGCTTTTGAATTTAAAAATGAGACACATGAAATGGACCCTTCAGAGTCAAGCCTAGGTAAGCGGTAAGACTCTGACATGTTTACTTTGGTTTAGTATTCTCTGGATCAGTTCCCCATGTGAGATTTTCTCAGTCAGGTACGCAATTTTTTTTTCCTGTCTAAACTGATTGTTATTTACCTTGCAGTTATATTTTACACATTGTTCATCTTTCTGACTGTGTTTTTGTTTTTAGGATTTGTGCCTATTACCAGTGAAAGTAAACTTGTAGCAGTTAAAGGACCAGTACCATGCCAGATTTCTCTAAATTGTGAGAAAGCTACATTACCTGTTGCATTCACTTCTCCTGCAACTCACTTTAAGCCTATCATTCTGCAACAAAATGCAAATATAACAAAGTTAGTATATCCTAAAGCAGAAGTTGTTAAACTTGAGACTTCATTGTTAAATCTACTGGAATTGTCCTCAAAAAAAATAATTCTTTGTTCCCTTTCAGAAAGGTTCACACACTGGTTTCTGAGCAATTCAAGAAAGAGACAAAAAAAGAAAAACACATGGACCACAGTAAATCAAGATGTTTAAAGGACTCTGAAAGCCTTGGTACTGAGGACACAGATGTTGTTGAAACTGCACCTGAAATACCTGAGTGTGGTTTACAAGTTCCAGGCCACTCATCCCAGATATTTTCAGAAAAGCGAAAGTCAGGCAATGCATTTACTTCTATAATTACGTCACCATTGCCATCTGATTCCTCACATACTCTACAGGG